CACTGCCACCTATTGAAGAGACACATCCTCTATTCCTGTCTACCACGTTCCCTCCTTCTCTTGCTTAAACCCTTCTCCGAAGACAGTTTATCAGGTACAGTTCAGGTGCATGCCCACATCATCAAATCAGGTCATAGTTCTGACAAGGACATTCCTTGGAGCAGTGCTCTGTCTTCTTAGTCATGCCTTTGAGGCAGGGACACTGATGTGCGTCCCAAGCTCCTGTCACATTATGACAGGGGAGGCAAACAATATCTAAGAAGTCCTGAAGCAGAGATTCCCTGGATATGGAGAAGTTCAGCATGGTTTCTGACCCATATGAAGAGCCGCGGCATTTCAGGACCGCAGGTCCTGCAGGAGAAGCAGCTCATCCCACCAGCAGCCTCAGGTTGGCAGGGCAGCTCCCTGGCACCTTCGCCAGCTCAGCTCCAAAGGGATCCAAAGGCCACCAGCCACCAGAGGACCGAAGCAGTGAGGAAACTGTGGAAAGCAGTTAAAGGGTCTTCTTTTCCTGCTTGCTCAAATGTATTAGGCAGGGACTGGCCTCAGTTTTCTGTCTCTGCTAAAGCCGTTATAGGTCCATATCAACCATTAAGCCTAGAAAGGAGACGAGGATGTGAAGTTCAACAAAAACACTGCAAGACTAACTGATTTGAGGCATTACATTCATAACTGTCAAAATGTCTCTTTATACCTGGATAAAGAAAAAGAAAGCCGCAGCGTACATCCCTTCACTTCTATGTCTGGAGGGGAGCTTTAACATAACAAACAGTCGAACGGCTGGGAAACACAAGGTTGTTCCTGTAACATGCAACGATACTTGGAAAGCTAATTTCCCACACACTTCTTGTCTGCTGAAATACAGAATGAGTTAATCATATTGGCATGTCATTTTGGAAAGATTCATGGTTCTCTAGCACCTTATTACAACATTACAGCTAATGGCACTTTCATCCCTCCAGCAAAAGGACACCACAGATGTGGCCAATAATTGTTAAGAATATGCAAGTGAAATATCTCTGTTATTAAAAGATCAATGGGTTGTTTGTACCCAGAAGAGTCAAAAGACCTTTTTCTCCTATATTTGACATTTTGCTTCTTTTTGAAAATGGAATTTGGAATTTGATTTTTTTTTTTGACAACATGCTTTAATTTTTGTCAGGTAGATCTAGTACAAGGCTGATTTACACAACACCTTCACTGCTTGTGGAAGCCAACAGACTTTTCAAAAGCTTGCACCCTTGAAATGTAAAGAAACCCAACCAATCTTCATATAGAAGAGACAGGAATGTGACAGATGGGCAGTGAAGGTGGTATCTACGGGGTAAGAGGAGACAGGGAGAAACAAGATCTGTCAGAATTACTTTTACTGCTCTAAGTCATAAAAATGTATTGCTTTTCATTATACAGAAAGAAAAATGTAAAGGAAAGAGAGAACAAGAACCATGATCATATCTGAATGTTCCCATCCAAATTAATATAAAACAATGCAGAGATATCCTGTCACACCATAACTTCATGACGTTTCTGAAAATGTTGTACTTGAGGTGGGATGTAAATGAGTGATCTCTTACTGTAGAGAATTCTTCTGTAGAGAACACACACTAAAATGGAATAGGAATAGGGCTTTGTTTTTCATTAAAAGCAAGAAACTCTCGGCTTTCCAAAAAGAAAGTAAGGGTACACCCCAAATCAGCAAATTATTTTTGCAAACTTTCTACAACTTTTGAAGCAAGGGGCATTTTAGAGTAGAGGTTTGGCTTACTGAAGATGGAATAGTATGGAGTATTTAGCCACTGCATCGTACAACATTAGATAAACCATGACACTGACGTCAGCAACATAAAAATAAGCATGAAATTCCCACTCTGCTGTGCATTGATCTCTTAAGGCTTTTCTCTGTAGCAGCAAATTCTAGCTGTCACAAAAGAGGCAATATAGATTATAATTTTAAAGTGATTTTAAAATATTATTAAAGGATAGGCTTATGACTCTGCATAACGAATTACTTCTATTTGTAAGTATGCACTTGATATTAGCCTTTGTATGCAAACACACAAACAGGAGAAATCTAAGACAATAAATAAATAAATAAATAAATAAATAAATAAATGTAAGAATATAGCGATGATAACATGAATGTAGTATTCTCTAGAGTCTGTTGACCTCTTATATTTGCCACTGGACTGTAAGGAACCAAATACAGTCAACAATTGAAAAACAGTGAGCTTATGCTAGTGCACAGCATCCAGGACCTACTGTAAGGTCTTCTATTTCTTGACAACATATAAAAAATGTGCCTCCAAACAAAGTTCTAAAAAGTTCTATTCTAAAATCATGTGCATTTCAGATCGAAATTTCATGGCAAGTCTGCACGAACAATCTTTGATTTAGATCACAGGAGATGACAATAAAAACCTGATCCCAAATATTGAATATGTATGTCCCAAATGTATGTCCTTTTTTAACTCAGACTGGAAGGGGAAATGGTTAGAATGACTTGGAGCTGAAGAAATGGGGAGCAGAAAAGGGGCAGCGTAAGAAACTTGGCCGATGTTCACGCACTCTGACTACTACAATAATATAATACCTCACACATTAAGAAAATCTATTGAGAACACCAACTGCAGTCAATATGGTCAAACGCTATAATTAGAAGATGGGCACGAATCGACTCAAAACTTTTCAAAAATCACAGGAACTTTGTTCCAGCCTGGCTGATTTCACTTGTCTGCCCTAAAGCAGAAGGGCTCGTGTGGGCTGCTGGGAGGCCAAGAGAACAGCACTCACACCACCAGCTGCTCCCCTTGCCTTTCTCTAGCTTTCTTCCTTATATTTTTCTCTCTTTCTTTCTCTTTCGTACCCAGATCTGCCTCCTGCTTCCTTCTCCTGGGGCCAAGCAGGGGGTCCAGCCCACAGCCCTCACATTGCGAGTTAACCATGTGCCCAGCTAACCATGCTGCCCAAGGTGCCTGACCCAGCGATGGAGAGGAAGGAGCAACGTTTTGGTCTCTCCTGCACATGCTGCTCTGCTCCTGGTGATTACCTGAGCGCACGGTGCGTCAGGCAGAGTGTGCGAGCACCTCTGCAGCCCAGTGTTGGGCACACGGCGTGGACGCAGCTCCGTGCTCCAGCGAGACACTGCCCCAGGGCTGGGCGCTGCGTTGCTGCTTTGCGCCTGGGGGAGCCAGCTCGGGGTGCCACCCCCCTGGACACTAGCGCAGCAGAACCAGCCCCAGACACCTACTCGCTGCCTGCCAGCTGGGCTCCCTAGGCCAGCAGGCCGTGGGCCGGGGCGAGCAGCCAAGCGGGGCCTGGCCGCGCGCCAGCAGGACGCAGTGAGGCCGGGAGCAGCAGGGCATCCCCGGCCACGCCGCGGAAGTGCCGCGAAGGGGTGGGGGGCCGGGCCTTCGACTTCAGCTGAGCCCCCATTTGGGAGCAGGGAGCCTTGCTGAACCTCAGGGCCTGGACTGCCTGATCGAAGGCCGCGTCTCAAAGTCTCTGGGCATTTCGGATGCAGCTGGTGACGGCCTTGGCGCAGGACGGCCCTACGCTGCAAGCAGGAACCCGCAGGCGGAGCAGGGGGAGGACAGGGGATGTCCAAGCCACCCTATGCAAAGGAGCAGGACGAACCTCAGCTGCTCCTGGCTCAGCTGCCTCGCCACAAGGGCTAGGCTGAAAGGGGAACTTGCCCTCCGGCTACACGAATTTAGCTCTTTTTTTTTTCCTTTGCCTATTAGAGGCAGCCAAAACAAACCATGTCTGACATTTCAAAACCATCCGCTTTTGAAATTTGTAACAACATTTTTCCTTTTTTTCTCTCCTTTCCAAACCGCACAGTCTAAAATCATGTTTTCTTCTAAAACAGATTCTTTTTGTCTTGCAAGATTTTTTTTCTCATTACCCTATTACTAAGGGGTACATGAAACCTTGCAGAGACTCTTCAGAGATTTCTCCAAAAAAGCATTCCCTCTCTTCCCTCTCAAATTGCTTTCTTCCCAGGACTCCCTCAAACCATCAGCTATAACTCTTATCTTTAATATATTAAGCTAGGACAAAATCATTACTTTGTCTATTTGACCTAAAAAGGTTTTTTTTTCTCTTTCCTGTTATTGGCATCTTTACTGAAATGAAAATTTTCTGGGTTGCTCATGCTTGCCCATTCATAAATTTGTCTCTTCTCTTGTGGATGTATCTTTTTCTTAAGAAAAGTTCAAAAGTTCAGTTAGCAACAGTTTGATTTCTTAGCTTGCTGCCCAAGCCTCTGGGTTAGTTAATCAAGAAATTAGAGCGACTACACATACCAGTACACTACAGATATTCAATGTTATTAATTGATATTAATAAGCTTTAGAAATGCCAAGGTACACTTATGATTTTAATTATTTATAGTACACATAAGCAGTCTATCTGTAAGAAGCTAGTCCTCCTCATTATTACTTCTTGTTATGTCACCAGCTCAAACCCATCTCCAAACACTGCCTGTTACTTCTTTAAGATCACAACGATCATTCTCCTTTTGATTTTCACCACATTCATACATCAGCTTTACCAGCCAGCTCAGGTTGCTTCCTCCTCTACCAACCTCCTCTTGTCAGTACAAAAAAAAAAAAAAAAACCCAATTTTTAGTGTTTAACATTTACCATCGTGTTTTAGGCATTTTCAAAATCACAGGAAAAAAAAAAGAGGGCAAATTCCCACTTTGTGTTTTGATCTAAATCTACTTTAAAATCTACTGCAAGATCCCACAATAAATATTATGGTGTGACTTCAATACCTGCCAGCAGTGTAAACATCAGCAAATTTTCATGGGCAATCACAGGCATCTCAATTATCTGAACACTGTCTCAGTCATCAAAAGGACAGGCTGACCTGCTGCATGGTCAATGTTTTTCTACGCACTAATGATTTTTGAAAAACAAAGCATAAAAAAAAGAAAGTCCTTACGTGCACCTTTAGAGAAACCTTCTCCCTATATTTTGCATAGGAACTGTAATGCATGAAGCCTTCCCCCTACCCGGAGGAGCCAGGACCTTTGGGGCATGGAAGCGGAGGCTGCGGCTGGTGCGCCGGGGCTCCCGGGCTCTCCCGCACCCGACCTGAAACCGGAGCTCCAGGTCTCCCGGACAGGTCTGGTTTCAGGCTGTCACCGCAGTGTCATTTCCCAAGTCTCCCAAAGACTCCTCTTTGTCTTGCAAACTTTGGCAAGCAGCGCATTAACGCTATGCACATAAAAGCATGCCAACATTTAGAAAGAAAAAGCATCTTTATAGATGCTTTATAGGTGCCTTGTTAAGGAAATAATAAGTGAAATACATTCTTCTGCACGCGCCATTTACCTTAGATAAATAAGCTCAAGTGAAATGTGTATTCCATAGCTCTCAGACCCCTACATTTTTTCTTTTCGGCCAACGGGCTGACCCAGAAAGCAGAAGAAAAATGATGGCTGCTGCAGGAAGGAACTCGAGGGAGCAGCTTGTGAACCTGCATTCCTCCACGTCTCAAGAAGTCACTCGCTGGGCACAAAGAGCATTTGCTAAGACTTGCCCTGGCACTGGCAGTGTGATCAGGGTCAGACTCACAGAAGGCATGAGAAGAAAGAAGGGGAGAAAGAGCACACGAAGATGAAGAGATTGAGAGATCTACTGCAGTTAACTCTCCTAAATTTCATCCCTCTGCTTTGTTGCCCAGTTTCCAAAAATAACCTAAACAAAGGCAAGAGCTGCGGAGGCACAGAGCCTTAAAAGAGCTGCAGTTCAAAAATACCAAAAGGTGACAAGGGAATTGGGGAGGGGGAAAAAAAAGAAAGAAAAGGGTATGTTCTCTTTGGAAAAGAACAGGGACATCTTTTAGCTTTGTGGCATACCAACACAGATGTAGGTCGGCACCCAAAAGCAGGATTCGAGGGATCTGGAGTCCTGGCAGGAGGGTGAAGGAGGGCACAGGAAGGTGTATAGAAATGGGATTGTCGGTCCTTCAGCCTTTCACGGATTCCAACAAAGGTTTGGACTTCTCTTGGACATTTCTGTCCTAAAATACTGCAGCTCAGTGAATGGTTTCTCTTTAGGTAACTGCACATTTCACATGCTTAATATTAGAAGATGCTTAGCATTTTCCCTCAAAACTGAAGGTGCTTTAATGTGAAAAATATCTCTTAATGACTAAGAAGAGAGTCAGCAGTGAACATTTGCACCTAAAGAATTCAGTTCCTCCCACATTAAAGGAACCTCTTGGAAAACTGATAGCAGGTAAATTAACAAACAACTAGTATCTATCAAAAATAACTGTTTTACTGCTAGAAGTGAATTAAAGACTCACAGAGCCAAAAACAAACACCAGGGGTAAAATCTGATTCTTACGTACTGGACTGATCACCAAGGTGAGGAATGAGAAAAATTCCTTCTGTCACGTAGAAATGTCTACCCTGTTCAGTTGGCATCTATGAAAAGGTGATTTTCTGTACCATCTCAGAAGAAAATTCAGCTACCAGATGAGAGATTTTCTTTTCCCAAACATGAACCATTATTGTTTACACCTAGCTTTGATTTCAGGACATTCAATGGTGTACTAAAATATCCCAAATCCACCCGCCCCCTTTTTCTTGCTTCTATTTTTCAGTAATTATCAAAATACATAAGTATTAGTACACCTCTGTGTAACTGGGGTGATACAGGACTATGCCTATTCGCTCCACCAAAGACAGCAACACTGGCCAGTGTCTAAGGTCTCTTTTCACAAATGGATACATTTCCCTCCTGTGCTTCTTTGCCACTTGCTTTAGCTGCAATAGGAAAGATGAGGTGCCGTTGATTCAAGACCCAGGTTCTTAGCACAGAAACACTCATCTCCATCATAAATAAAACCACACACTGCAGAGTATTTTAGGCACCACTGTTCAGTGATAACCGTTACCTTTCTTGTACAACAAACCTACCACTTGAGTGCATATCAGCTCTTATATTTCTCCTCCTCTACATACATTCGTTTTTCTTTCCTAGACAAAAGAATTTACCTTGTACAAGGTGGAAAACACAAATCCTCACTCACAGTTTGGCCTCCCTTTGTAGAGTCCTGGATTGCATACAAAAATGGAAAAAGAGATGAAGATATCCACTAACAATAAATATTTTATCATGGGTTTTGCAATATTAAGTATTGGACTTGAAACTCCTAAATCCTGAAGTAAGGTCATAGAAAGGCTCACATCTCCTTCTGGCTTGATTTCCTACAGAAGTATGATATTTACTACAGCACTGTCTTCTGTGAAGAAAGGCTAAGCCAGTGCTCAGTTCCAGGCACACCTGAAAGGGGGGCTGAAGTCACTAAGATAACTAAATTCCCGCAAGCTTCATGAAAATCGGTTGCTGGTTACAGGGCGGAAGCGCAAACACCGGCCGACACGACAGGCGGAGCCGAGCACACCCAGGGCCCCACGTGCCGCGCGGCCGGCCTGCAGGCCCCGCACGTTCGCCTGCGGACGCACGGCCTCCAACGCCCCATGCAACGCGCGACCGCCCGCCTGCTGGCCGGCAGGTACACGATATGCATGGGGAAAGGGCTAATGGAGAACCGAGATTAGCGCCGTTGCTCACAAAACAACCAATTTTAGAAAAGGGTATTTTCTCACCTTTGTGGTTTGGGAGGAAACTTTAAAGCTATAATGCAAACCAGCTTCAAAGCGTAAGAAAACAGGAAGAGGATGGGCAAAACTGATGTGGAGGTTTGGGGCTTTGGGCAGGGTTTAAGTCTCATAATTCTTAATCTTTGTTTCTCTTTTATGCTTAAGCAATGATTTTCAAGCTGGCAGTTCTGATGACTTATTCTGCAACAATCTTTTCCAGCCTTCGATCACCATGAAAGTCAGCACAACCTGAGAAAACAGCAAGTGATGACACTAAATGGGCCAGCCCAGGCCTCCTTAAGAGAGGCAGCGGAACCGTTGAGAGAGAAGCATTTTTAGGAGCAAAGTTGAGCAGAGTGGGAAGGAGACAGCTTCGCACAGCATTAGCCTCTTTTCCCAGGGGAGCACAGACTGAGAAGGAAAAACACCACAAGCCTCTCATCTTCTCTGCTTGCCACAAAAGAGGGATGTATTTTGCAGCAGGATCTGGGGAGTCTGACACTGAACTTAGCTCAAGTGACATGAAATGTTAATGTTTAGGAACAAAGTAGGAGGAGAGGAGGAGGAAAGAAGACATTTGTTATTTCATGTAGGATTCATTCAAAAGCTTCTTTTCACAGCCAGAACTAAAATTTCCATTCAGCTGTTTATTTCTGGTAACCGAGATAGCTTGAGCAAGTGAAAGAACAAGGATCTAGAGGGAGCCCTTATTTATGCCTGCATATCCATAGCGCTTCCTCAGATATCCTAAAAGAGAATCAGGCACATTTTTCTGACTACCATTCTCCATAGTTAGGATGAGTAATTTTCCTGTTTCCTTGCATTTCTGGTAAACTTGGGGCAAAGGGCAGAGGGACACAACCCTACTACCGCACTACGCAAACAGTAACACAAGAAGTCGGCCCTGCTAACCAAAGCATGGCACAACCCTTGTTAGCACCGGCACTCCACCTTGCCAGCTTCCCTTCCGACAAGATCCAAGCCCTGAGAGGCTTCCAGAGGAATACAGTCAATAAAATATGTACCTTACGTCCACTCCTCCCCACCTAAAAAAAAGATCAGCGGGGCCAAGGAGTGGGGGACCATGTGTAGCCCAAGCTACGTGGGGCCCACGGCAGTGGCATGAGGGGCTGAGCCCTGCCAGTCAAGAAGCCCTCACCTCCCCATGGAGGAAGGTGCCCCCAAGGACTCCCAAATAAAGGAAGGGAGCAGTGGCCTAAATACTGAAGCGATAATCAGAAAAGGAAAAAATAAATAAATTAAATAAATAAATAAATAAATAAAACATTGGAAATTGTTCCAACATTGAAATAGGAGGGCATTTCTCATGCCAGGCCCCTTGGGATTCCTGGAGGTGCCGCATGGGGAACGTCATGAGCTCTTGGCACCACAGCTCTAGAAGTCACTATTTAAAATGGCATAAACTGATGTACCAAACTAATCCATATAGTTTTCTTTTTTTTTTTCTCTTCATCTCAGTCTGAACCATTTTCCTTCATCACTCTGATATACCCTCCAGCTTGAAGCATTTGAATTTTCTTGCTCTTATTTATTTATGCTACATCTGAAAAACAACTTTTCCCTTGCACACACCAGACCATTCTCCCTTTCCTGTTTCTTGCTCTTCCCAGCCCCCTGTTGTTCATCCGCTGGCCCTTCTGCCTGCGCTCTGCTTCCTCACGCGTCTCCCTTCCTGTCCTTCCTTTGACTCCCCATTTTCTCCTGCCTTTGATGTTCCTCCTGGTACTTTCTCTTCATCCTTCCTGCCAAACCGAATGAGGTGCTGCCCTATGAAGACACTTGGAAAAAACACAACACCAGCTCAGTGTTATGCTAGGTCACAGCACCTGATAGGAATTTTTAGCCTCACTTACTACACAGATTTATTTGAATGCATCCCCCTATACATAGAGGATTATCTGCACGAGTCCCTCTGTGGAAAAAAAAAGCCAGGAAGAGGTGCTATATAATTGCGGAAGCATCCTCTGATTTTAAGTCCATGTATTTAATGAGCTGCATCTGCTATGTGTTTTTGAGGGCTGAGCAGAAACTACACACCACACAGTAACAAATTTGGGAGAGTGTCAAACGAAGCACTAGACAAGTGGCTAAGGCTTCCAAGGACTGCTCTCCCAGCAAAGTGACTGTTCAGAAATGACACCTTCTTACTTTGCAGCTCTGCTGCCCCAAGGGCGAATTTCACCCCTCTTTGTAGAACGCCAACACAAGGTCATTTCAGTTCTATTTATGCTCTTAGAAAAGATTTACTCGTGTTGTCCTGCTCTCCTGAACAGGATCAAATTTCTCCCAGTATAAACACAAAGACAGAGTGACCATTTACATGAAAAAAGCACTTGTTTTAACAAATAATTTTTCTGGTGGTTGTAAAAAGAAAAAAAATAACAGAAAGATGCATTTTATCCCTGCTGCCACAGCAACATGAGAACAGCTGACCAAATTCCAAATGCAGGGCTATATTCTCTCCTCAGTTACACTGTGAAACCTTGTTGAAATCTACAGGCCAGATTCACTGATAGGTTCTGGCTGCTTTGCATGTTTTAGCAATGCAAAGCAGCTGTAAATCCAGTTCAACTTGCCAGTTTCTGTCAGCTTTACCATGCCAGATTAGCACTGCTGTTAGATTCAAAAATACCAACATCTGGAGGTTCCCCCATCTCCTTCTCTGGCTTGAAACCTTGGAAGTTTGTAATTCTTCCACCAACTGGCAGTTTGCACAATTAGCAGGACCAGCCTTAGGTATTTTTTCACCAAGACTAAAATATACTTGTCACAATTCCCCAAACTGTATTCACACAGCCAACTGAGCAGATCAAACAAAATTCACTTAATGATCAACTCTAGGTTATTCCCCGGCCAACTGCCCAGCTGTTCCAGAGAATGACTCCTGACCCTGCCTAGGAGCAGGTGTGTTACGAGTCTGCAAAGTGAACCTGGCAAAACAAAATAGGCTGTTTCCTTGTTCTTTTAAACTTCTTTGGATGTCAGGAAACAGTGCTCAGCCTTGTTTCCGGCTCCTCACCCAGAGGAGGTGTAGGAAACTGGAGGTGGATATAAAGAAAGGCAGAAACAGGACAGTTCAACAAAAAATCAAGAAAAAATATAATATAAAAACCCCAAACAGTGCTTCGGCAAACAGTAAAGCAGGGCATCTTGGAAAAAACAATTCCCCTAACTGACCAAATCTGTCTCTCTAGGGATATACAACGGTGTCAGGAATTAATAGCATTTTCTTGCAAACATTCAGCATTCAGCTGCTGCTGCAGCACTTACAGTCTTTTGCTTTGCAAACATTTACTTTTGCCTGAGAAAAACACAAGCAAAAAAGAAACAGGGAGATTTTGAGGGGTTTGCGTGTATTCGTGTCAGTTCTGATTTTCCAAGAACAAAGGCTTTATTTATAAATAAATAATTAAATGGGAAACATTCGGCATATTTTATTTATTTCCAGCTCCCTCCCAGCCCCTCACTCGGCACGCGTTAATGCGTACACCTTGAGCACAGTTGGGCTCCTCGTGTTGCCATGGAACTGCAACCTTTGCAGTTGAGGCGGTGCTCTACGCCAGGCAGCATACTGTTCCGACACTTCCACAGCAGAGGCAAAATCACTGCATAGCATTAACTCCCTTAGCATTTAAGGCATTCAGTGTCTTTCTTGTCCGTGCGTCTTCACAGACTTTGCTTTTCCTATCTTGCCACATGTAAATGAAACACATTTGACATAGCTTTTCTTTTTGTTATGAAGTCAATAGCTGACATGCTGAGCACATTATAGAGGGCCCACAAGACTATGGACTTTCCCTTTTTAACACAAAGCTGCCTAAAGGCTTGTAGCAGCCGGGAAAAACATGAGGATATAAAATTGCATTAGACAACATGGTAATATTTTACTAGATTTTTGAAGCCTAGTTAACATACTTATTGCTAACACACTTGACACACATTCTGAATATTCTTTATTGCCCTTTGAATGTTTGTCCAGACACCCAAATTACACTATAAAGCTCTTGGAGCAGTTGCCAGGTCTTTCTATATCTTTGTTTCCTAAAGTAGGCTAGTGGACTTTCAACGGTAAACAGAGCTTTGAGCGCTTCTGTTATAAAAAGACTTAATCAGTATGACTGTGTGTCATCTAAAAATTCAGCCTACAACGATTATCTTAAGCAGATCTGAGGTTTATGCCAAAGTTTCTGTGCTGCACACACAAGTGCAAAAGCATCTGTTTTTATGTTCAAGGCAAAGGAACACAGATAACCATGTTTATTATAAAAAGATGGCCGTAATAAATAAATAAATAACTATTCATGCGTATAAATATTGCATTTGTACCCAGAGAGACAGCTGGAGGCCAGCTCATGGTGTGAAGCCAGTTTGAGGCTTTTATGCCCTAACTTAAATATTTGCATAGTATTAAGCTTAAAATTAAAGCGTTTACTTAAGGAACTTGCTGAATTGTATATATGGAAAAAACAAGAGGGAATTCAGCTTCTCTACACGAGGGCAGATTCTTTGGATGCCTTCTCCGTCCCATGAATTCCTGGACAGCATAAAGACAGACCGACTACCAACCAGGGAATTCCCCTTTCACTTTCCAGAGAATTTTGTGCGTGAGTCGGATAGAAAAGCAATAACCCAGGTAGGTATTTTATGAAGAAGGCATTTGTTGCTTAGGTTCTTATCCCTCGACCACCTGGTAACACTCCTGCCTTTTAGTATTGTCCCTGGCAAAGAAAAGATCCATTCACAGAACACCTCCGATCGAGCAGGTTTTCCGAGTGTTGGTGCCACAAGCGACCTCTTTCTTGTCAGCAATTCCTCGCGGCTGAATCAGCCCGCCTGGAGTTAGTGATTTCCTGCAGTTCACTGCCCTCAGGGATATGAGGTTGTGACCGCCCATAATGAGCCTTTCTGCAGCCGGCGTTTGGCCTCTGTGTCCCTCCGTGTGCTAGCAGAAGGTACAAAAGCCCTATTGTCTGTTTTTGTCCATACGGAGTCAAAATGATCACCTGTGCCCGGGTGCCAATGTGTGCCGAGTTCTCCCTGGAGCCTGGGGGCACCAGTGAGATGTCGGGTGCCCCCCGCAGAGCCCTTGGAGGCCTTGAGCTTTGTGGTAGTAGTTAAGAGTTAAGAGAATTCATCCCACCGAGGGGAAAAAAGGCAGCGATCCAGAGCTGCCAAAGCACAACTCTCCGCTCTCCTTGCAATGAATTTCTGATAGTT